TTTCGGTATCGGAGCATTTGGGCGAGTACGAGCCCAAATACTTGGTATCGGTGCATCCCTACAAGTTACAATTAGAAGTATGCCATCATTAGTACGAACACTAAATGTATACTGAAATTTCCATAGTCAGTGTCTTGCCATCCATGCCTTCTACACTACATACAAACTAGGATATCCATCCTATTGGGTTAAGTCATCCTTCTTTGGATGGTGCATCAGGATTTAACCACTTAGTAGCTCTACTTTCATTTGCAATAAATGGCTTCTGGATAGGTTTTTACCCATCATAGTGGCATTCGTGAAATTGTTAGCGATAGCATTAATATAACAGGCAACACCATTACTCTGAAAAACATTTTCATATTAAAAGGAGAAATATGGGGTCAGGGCTTTTCCCCATAGTTCTAAGGGTAACGGGAGGACACAAACTAGCGTCCTTCCGTCACCCTAAGCTCAGTATACCGCGAGCTGTAGCTCGCGGTATACTGAGACGCCGCAGCTGAAACGGATCCTGACAATTATGTCTGGATCCGCCCAGCTGCGTGAGTGACAGCTGGCTCAGCCTATCTAGAGACAGAGCCAGCTGTACCCGCCCCCCTCCGCTCTGCCAGTCAGCGCTGGAGGATCGGACAGGGGAGGGGGGAATCCAGTCCCTCCCCTGCCACGGCTCTCTGCCGTGACAGGATCGAGAAGTGAGCGAACACCAGTATGTGTTCACTCACTTCCCGAGCTACTGAGCCGACCTGTGACAGTCTCATTGTCACAGGTCGGCTAGAACTATGAGGATGAGTGAAAAGCAGTTGTGTTGTGCATAATGTTTTTATTGCCATCGGTGCCCTCACTGTAGTCTTCTCTTCACTTCCCATCCCAAAGTGAGATAGAAGTTTAACTTGCCTATGATTCATACAAAATGTAATGTTGGCTACAGTTGGCCTTTAAAACATCTCATAGGGTTATGTACCCTGTTTCCCCGAAAATAAGACAGACACTGTCTTATATTTTTTTGGCTCAAAAAAACACAATAGGTCGTATTTTCAGGGTAGGTCTTATTTTAATGTACAACAATCAACATGTATCCATGTACAATATGGTGATCAGGGAAATCAGGGGTGCTGTACCTTTCAAAGAGCAATTTGCTAACCAATTGCTGTCCAGAATGAGCGAAGCGCGCTTTCACTATCGATTCCTCACAGGCGGAGTGCATTTGGTATCACTCCGCCTGTGACAGGAGCCGGCACTATAGAGGGGACATCGGCTTATGCGGCTCTGCTCCCTCCGGTGCCACCTTGCTTCCTCCAGCGCTGGCACCGCTGATTCTCTCCCGCGGCTCTTCAAGTTCCCCCTTATGCCACCACCGGCCCTGGGAATGGTCACAACTAGGTCTTATTTTCAGGGTAGGTCTTATATTTTAGCAATTCCCAAAAATAGTACTAGGTCTTATTTTTCAGGGTATGTCTTATTTTCGGGGAAACAGGGTAGTATGAGCAGGCTATAGATATGAGCAAGCATGTTTAACCAGATTTACTGGAACTGTTTTAAACCTTTCACTATTCATCATTTATTCCACCCATCTTAGCCTTCAGCCTGGTCCGGACCATCAGGTGTCTTTAGGAGACGTTAAAACTATAAGGCTTTTGGTACTTTACAGACCCAATCAAACCTATGCACACTTTATTGGTGCATCGAGGTTTGTTGGTGGCCCATTCAACAGGCACTCAACAGGTGCCCTGAGGCCCAAAAAAATGTCACTTCCCTCATTATTTCCAGCACACCACAAGGCATGCATGCCTTTACACACCTAACATTGAGGGGCAGGAATGTTTGTACTCGTGTAAGACACAAAATTGGACTGCAGAGAATTGTGTTTCTTCAAGAAAGTATACGTCTTCACTAAATTCAGACACAAATCGTTGGCCATCACATATCAATTCCCTAGTATGATGAACTTCTAAAATATGAATATTTCAAGGTATGGACATTCTAAAGTTATGCAGAAAAGGCCATGAATGTCACAAGAGCAGACAGACAGGGATATCTGCCTTGTGTCTCATTCTGCAACATCTTCTGATTTTCATAAACTCCACAAGTGTGAAACAGCAATAGCAGAAAAACATGCTGCAAAAAAGTTCCACTACCTTGAAGAAGAAAACAAAAGTAACAAAAAGCAGGAAGACAGCAGTGGAAACAAACTTGGCTTTCAATAAAAGCTCAATAAGTAGCAATACTTCTGTAATTAATTTATTGACATTGCATAAGATCTACCCAAAAACTAGAGGAAAACTGGGAATTGGACTTCAAGAACTACGGGCCAACCTTTTTCTGGCATTGGTTCCCTCTTGGGTCACAGAACATTTACGATGTCCTCATGTGACACAAAACTCAGCAAGTAGAAAGCTATTCCCCGCTATATGCTGACAGCGCAGAGCCATGCTGCACCCTCGAAAGATCCCAGCAAAATTGTTGGGATCCACCCCACTGCTTGACAGCCAACTCTGGCAGGCACAGCTGGCAGAGCCAGCTGTGCCCGCCCGCTCCCTTCCGTCAGCGCTGGAGGAACAAGGGAGGGGCATCCCTGTGGGAAGCAGTGAACGACAGTCACCGCTCTCTGCAAGGAGAAGATTGGGAACCCAATGCTCTGCGGTATGTGATCACCCCGGAGCAGATCAGCAGCACGGAATATGTAGCAAATTGTCATACCAATATTCTGCATTGCTGTATAATGTATTGCTGTGATTTGTAGTCCTCTATAGTTGGTGGTATTCTGCATTGCTGTATAATGTATTGCTGTGATTTATAGTCCTCTATAGCTGATGGTATTCTGCACTGCTGTATAATGTATTGCTGGGATTTGTAGTCTTCTATAGTAGGGATGCACCGATACCGGTTTTCCGGTATCGAGTACCGATATTTTAAAAATTTCCGTACTCGATAATACGGAGTACCGATACTTCCGCTAGCATACAACCGACTTTCAAGGCAATCAAGAAGCTGGGCGGCGGGTAATGACAATGCTGACTGGCCGGGAAGCCGGCTTCCCAGCCAATCATGGAGCCGGCTTCCCTTGCCAATCAGGAAGCTGGGCAGTGAGTCATTACCCACCACCCGACTTCTTGATTGGCTATGAAGCCGCCTCCATGTTCTCTCGCGGCACTGCTGGTCAGAGGAAATCTCCCTCTGACCGGAAGTCCTGGTATCAGGGGGTAAGCATCAGAGCATTTGGGCGAGTAATACTCGTGTTGGCACTGATACTAGTATTGGTGCATCCCTACTCTGCCATTCCGCATTGCTGGGGTTTTTAGTTCTCTATGGCTGATGCCATTCTGCATTGCTGTGATTTGTAGTCCCTCTACAGCTTAAAGGGAGTGACAGAACTACCAGGATCGCAGCTTTTACAGCTGCGACCAGGTCCTGGCACTCCACCACTGTCCTATTCCCACTGAGAGGTGGAGATGAGGCAACCAAGTAGATACTCCCTTCCTGGTTTTAAATGCGATTTATAGTGAGGTTATCCCTCATCAGATTAGATATTATAACCTGGTACTGAAAACATACCAGCCATCAGCAACGTTTTTTTTTGGGGGGGGTGTTAAGATTATATAAATGGTATTTTATTTCTAATGTAATACCGGCAATCTATCTACAATACTCCAGCCGCCCATGGCCCTGCCTCTGACACCTACAAAAAAATTATCCAACGTGTTTACGTTTCAGCATGGCACAGCCAAAGAAACGTCTCTTCTCAAAGCTGCAATCGTATTCCCTACTGTAGCAAGAGTATTCCCTATTGAGCATGATGCAGGGAGCACAGTCCCAACCATCACAGTTGTGTTAGGGGAAATGTTCTATACCAATGGCGCAGACACAAACAGAAATATCCCAGCAGGAATCAAAGCTTCCATTACTTTGCCTTAAACGGAAAACGTAGAATTGTGCTGTAAAACCATCTATTGACTCCGGGATCATGCTGCTTCCAAGTCACTATGAACGTGTCCACTCTTCAGCCATACAGTGTAACATCCTCCTGATCACTTCCACATAGGGAAATCTGCAGCCTTCACGCTGAAAATAGATTTTCTCCTAGTACAGCATCCCGGGAACAACAGGCAGACCTGCCAAAATGACTCCCTCCCACACTGGCAACCTGCTGCTCTATCTCCTGGACAGACGTCAGTATGTGATTATTGGAGGCCAGCTAACACAGGTGATTGGAATGAGAAAGGATGCAGAAGAAGCAGCATGGGGTGTTCTGATGTGAACTTCCTGCAGGCACCAGAAATTGGGGGTGGAGGTCTGCGCATACTGTAGGATTAGAAGTTAGGGAGACGCAGGGTAGTACACCAGGATGTCAGAGGGGCAAAGTATTGGCAGTGCAGCTGGATGTGGGAGGGGCCAATGCAGTTGATAGTGGAGGACTACGTATGATGCTGGAGGGGCTCAGTATGGGTACTCACGCTGGGCAGTGCAGCTGACGATGCCGCAGCACCCACTCAGGGTAGTGCAGCTGATGCTGCCAGAGGACTCCCTATGGGCAGTGCAGCTGACGCACAGGACTCACTATGGGCAGTGCAGCTGACGCACAGGACTCACTATGGGCAGTGCAGCTGATGCACAGGACTCACTATGGGCAGTGCAGCTGATGCACAGGACTCACTATGGGCAGTGCAGCTGATGCACAGGACTCACTATGGGCAGTGCACCTGATGCACTGGACTCACTATGGGCAGTGCAGCTGATGCACTGATGCAGAGGACTCACTCAGGGCAGTAGTGCTCACCATGTGAATGAATGGGAAGGGGGCAGTGTGTCAGCGGGCCCCCTCCTCCTCACATGCAGCAACCGATGGAGTTAGTCCGAATCGGCACTGATATCAGGTTCGGGGAGGAGGACTGGCTTGTCCGGGTCACGATGCGGCCTCCTCCCCGTCCCCGCAGTGCCCCGGGGGAGGGTGGTAGAGCGGAGCCCCGCTACCCCCCCCCCTAACTTCTCTTGTGGCCCCTCACCTGATACAGCTTCACCCCCTGACAATCCGGGTTCGGCGGCGCGCTCTGCTCTTTGTCTCGGGACAAAGCCGCTAAAGTTTCCCTCCTGAAGCCGCGCTGATCCTGACCCAGACTAAATAGGACCTCATGTCACAAGGACCCCGCGTCGGGGCTGCCCTGGCTCATGCCTGAAAAATGGGAGCAGCAGGAAGACCCCGCCATAGAGTGGGGGAGGGGCGCTCCTCTCCGGTCAGATTTTGGATTTTTAACGAATTAAAACCAAATATCTGCAAATAGATTATGCAGTTTTTGCTCTCCCCATCTAACAACTCTTAGGCTCCATCCCCTGGAAGAATAATGGCTCTAGCTTTACTCTAGCTCTGACTATTATTTATTCACAGAACATCACCTTCCATATAATAATTTCTGATTTTATATCTCTCCACAGCAGCCGACAACTATTTGTATTTTACCAGCTTTAAAATAAAAATAAAATCGCTCAGGCATATCCGAGGGCAGCTATGCACTTAAAGGAGCCGCTTCCTAAAAATTAGGGACCGTCTGCCAAGCGACAATCAGGATGAGGTAGCAGGCCGCAGGGAATGTGTAGCAAACCTCAACTGACAGCCCGTAGCAGAAAACCGCGCGTGCGGCGCATATATGGAGAGGGCAGGTGTTCAGTTATCGATATCTATCGAAGGAAATTGCCGAGGGCACGTATCGGCACAGGCACGGCTGCCGAGGCCTAAAGTTGCTGAGGGTTTTCCTCCTCCGGTCGGGAGGCACCGCGCGCCGGAGTGGAGAGAGCCCTTTACTTATTGGTGCAGATGGCCGAGTTTGGGCGGGGATCGCAAATATCCGCCAATCACAAGCAGCGTAACAGAGGCTGGCGAGAGCCGAAGAGAGTTGTGCAGATGGTCCCTAACTTTTGTTCCATAGAAATATATATATTTATCATAAATGTCTGGGGATTTTACTGACGTGCCAGAAACAACAGAGACTGCACAGCTCTTCAATACAACAATTGTATATGTGTCATAAAGCAAAACCATGCAGGTTATTAAACCAGAAATAAAGTGTTTTAAACTCAGCCAGCCACAGTCCAGGTCTCATTATTGTATTGTAGACTGTTACATAAAAGCAGACATCTGATTGGTTGCTGGAGATCAGTTCCTTTATTGAAAATTTTTCATATCTCTTATAAATCAGCCTAAATGTGTGAGGTGTAGTGAGGAAGCAAGCAAATGCAAGTCAGTATCAAACTAACCAGACTAGATGGCAGCTTGTACTAATAATGGGCAAACGCACGCTTTTGCAATGCAGGACGTTGTGGTAAGACGCATTACCGCTATGCAAATGTCATACTGCCACCTACTGAAGGCCTTTTCTTTCCCGATCCCAAGGGAGATTTTACATTGAAATGCCACACTGCAAGCATTTGGCACGTGGTTGCAGCACAGTCTCATTGCCTTCAATGGACTTGTTTCTCAAGCACCAACGGCTGCCAAATGTGACACGCCGAGTTTTATTTGCCACAGAGATGTAGATGGACAGGAGAAGCCGCCATTTTCATTTTTAGATAGGCGGTTGGGGGCGGTAAAATGCGGATCCGCTTCTTGTTTTTAACGCCCCTTTTCTGGTCTGTGTGAACCTATCCAAAGTGATCTGAGAGGAATACAAATTGTATATACTTCCCGGATAACCTCTCCTATATCTAGTTTCGGGGTAGGCAACATCAGCATGCAAGCTGTGGTGAAACTACAAATCCCATCATGCTGCTGCCTTTGGGAGTCATGTCCGTGGCTGTCAGAGTCTTGCAATGCCTCATGGGATTTGTAGTTCCACAACAGCTGGAGAGCCGAGGCTGCCTGTCCTTGGTTTAGAGATAATCTAAGCACAGCAGTGCCAGTATGAATGTAGCGTAAGGCAACACAACAACAATGTACGCGTGTTGCAGCTCACCATAAGGCCCCATTTACACCAGGGCGGTAGCGTTTTAATGCGGTTTCTGAATGATTTTTGAAAGCGATTTTTAGGGCGTTTTTAATCGCGTTTATAAAGCAATTAAAAACACCTAAAAAGGTGCTGATCAGCACGTTCCCATTGAAATCTATATGGGAAAGCGCAACAAAAGTAGCTCAGGGAGATTTTGGGCAGCAGGCAGTTCGGATCGCGCGATTGCATGAACGGTCCCCATAGGAATGTATGGGATTATTCATGTAGGCTTATCAGCGTGGAAAAATCTGTGCGACCGAACCGCCCTGGTGTGAACGGGGCCTAACACATGTAACACATACCATGCTTTGTGGTGCATTGCCGCAGAAAAATTCTGCATGTACTTTATTTTTGTGCGTCGGCAGCCCATGTAAATGAATGGGCTGCCTTAGCCCAATGCACGGCAATGCATGAGAACAGCACAGTGGACATGGATCCTAAAGTATATGGAATGGGTCAATTATTCTAGCTGTTTCATAATGAAAGTGCTGTATATCCCCAGGCAAAACCTTTTCCGTGAAGGTATTATTGCTGTCTGAGTCCCCATTGGGCCTCATTAACACTAGAAAAGGCCGGCACGTACAGCTCCGTGCACGGCCGTATCGGGCAGCTGGAAGGAAGGACAGGTGCTGCGTGTGATTAGTATGCAGCCCCTTACCTTCTCTATGGGAGTACGCTGCCATACGGCGCCCTACGCTCTCTCCAAGTGCATGTCCGTACGTGTGCGGGTGTCCCGGCTCAATCCAGACAGGATCCATCCTGTCGGTGTACGAGTACGGACACCCGCACAGACATGTAGGGCGGCGTACTCCAATAGAGAAGGGCAGCGACTGCATACTAATCACACGCAGCACCTGTCCTTCCCAGGAGCTGCCTGATACGGCCGTGCACGCAGCACAGAGCTGTACGTGCCGGCCGTTTCTCGTGGGAATGAGGCCTTGGGGAGATTTCTATTTGTGCTAGTGACCATTGTAGAAGAGAAATACAAAGAGATAAGGGAAAATCTTTGCAATGGGGACACCTGTTCCATTGACAGGTAAATCCCTCACGTAGAGGGAGGATTAGTGCTAACTTCCTGTTGTGTGTTTGGGACAGGAAGTAAAAGCGAAATTTCCTTAATGGTCCACAGACCAAAAAAATATATAACAATAGTAGCCTGGAAGTTTTAAAGAAAAACTTTTTTTTTAAACTTACCCTTGCAGTGGGGCTACCCCCACATTGCAAGGGTTAAGTCCTTGTCTAGGTGGCTCAAATAAAGCAAATATACTCATCTGGTCCTCAGTCCTGTGGCGGTCAGTGCTCACCTTTCTCCCCCTCCGCTCCAGTTACGTAATGTCCCTCGGCGCCCTCAGGTCTAATGCAAGTCAATGGACCTGCCTTGGATGTGATGACGTCAGCGGTCCTTAGGCCGCCGGAGCCCGGGGAAGAAGAAGCTGCAGGAGATCATTTTTGTCCAGGGGAGCGGTGTAAAGGACTTTTACTTACCTTATTTATCCCTGCCCTGCTGACTCCTAGACCGGTACCTGCAGCCTCTTCCCCCCTCCGCTCTAGTGGTGGGAGGCCCGCTGATGCCATCACTTCTAATGTAGGACTCATAGCCTTACATCATACGCCAGGATGCTGGAGGATAGTCCAGGAGACGGAGTGTAGGGGATACAAGAAGATCGACAACTGCGGGGGGAGCGGGGATCAGGTAAGTAAAAGTCCTCTTCACTGTACCCCTTAGATCAGGGGTGAGCAACTCCGGCCCTCCAGCTGTTGTGGAACTACAAGTCCCATGAGGCATTGCAAGACTGACAGTCACATGGATTACTCCCAGAAGCAGAGGCATGTTGGGATTTGTAGGTAAAGCACATCTGGAGGGCCGGAGTTGCTCACCCCTGCCCCAGACTAAAAGGAGCAATTCACCCTTGCAGTGCAGGGGCAGCCCCACTGCAAGGGTTTAGTTTTCATATAAAATGGCAGATTTTGGAGCTGTATAGAACTGAATGTGACTTGTCATGTATCTTCTTCTGTTTCAGCGGAATAATATCACCATACAGAGGTTATAGCTACTATGTATGGTGTTATAATTGAACTGAAGAAGAAGAACACTACAAAGTTACATAGGGCTATTCACAAAAGGGTGAAGAGTTTGGAGAAGGCTGGAGAAGAGAACTATTTAGGACAGCGGTCGCCAACTGGTGGTCCTCAAGAAAATGTTGGTGGTCCCCGGGCCCCTCTGATGCCGTGCAGGCTGGGCCGTCATTGAAGCGGCACGGAGGCCCAGAGGCTGCCTCTCACTGACTCAAGCAGCGGCTGTCACAAGGAATGCGCGGCTCTCATAAGTGCGGGCTCTGCAGGAGGCGGGGCATCTCATCAGTACCCGGACTGAGCAGGCTGCAGGACATAGAAAAAGTAGGGAAAAGCCAGGTAATAGTGGCTCAGTGTGGGAGAAGGGGAGGCACAGGGGTGGTTGGGGGCAGTGCTGAAGCTAGGGGAGGCATGTGGCATGTGTCGGCAGAGCCAGTGGCACAAATGGATTTGGGGGTCATTGTAGACCACAGACTGAATAATAGCTTGCAGTGTCAGGCTGCTGTAAACAAAGCAAGTATGGTCCTGTCCTGTATTAAGAGGGGAATGTTTTGCAGGGACAAGTCCATAATTTTGCCACTTTATAGATCACTGGTTCGGCCCCATCTGGACTATGCGGTCCAGTTTTGGGCACCAGTGAACAGAAAGGATGTCCTTGAACTGGAAAGAGTCCAGGAGGGCGACCAAACTCATAATGGGATGGAGGACCTGAGCTATGAGAACAGGCTACTAAATTTAAACATGTTCTCATTGGAAGTAAGGAGATTAAGGGGGGACATGATTCTAATGTACAAAATGTTTACCGGGGATAGTAACATTAGCAGCAAACTTTTTACAATTAACTCCATGACAAGGACGAGAGGCCACCACCTAAAATTGGTGGAGACAAAATGTCAGCACAAAGGGTGAAGGGGTTTCTTCTCAGTTAGATCACACGGTCTGGAACTCTCTGCCACATGCTGTGATTTTGGCTGAGAGTGTGGAATCATTCAAGAGGCGATTGGACGATTTCCTCAGGGACCAGTATATACAAGTGTACAAGTACCCATAAAAAATTAGAACACACAGGAACCCATACATACACACACATAAGTAGGACCACACACACACACACATTAGATGGACTCGATGGACATATGTCTTTTTTCAAC